TCTTGATTTCTCATGACACCACTATGAGGAAAACAGCCATAACAGTGAGAGAGCAGAAGTCACATGAATATGGACTTGACCCTCATCTTTGTATCTGAAGGGCAGAAAATGATATATAATCTGGTAGCTCATCCTACCTAAAATCAGCTAATTCTGATTTTAATAAAGACATGTATTTTTATCCAAGAACTGTATTATCTAAATATTCAAGTGTCCTCTTTCATGCTGCATTAACATAAGATCACAAAAATGAGTAATAGGCTTCCCAAATCTTTGTATAAATATCTATTCCTATAGGCATTTCCACTTGAAATGTATATCATTAAAGTAATTGCATCTATCAATCTTTTAAATCTCTTAAGTCACACTCTTCAGACATCTTGAGTTTAACCAAATACACGAACTACTTAGCATGTTCATTTTAGGCACTGTGATCATCAAAATGTAAGCTCCCAAGACCACACTCAAAAGCACCCTGAGAGCTTCCTTGTGCTTTTACTCATCAGGATTGTTTTGAATGGCTCTTATAACTAATCTTGTCCAAATGACATCCATAAATCAAACAGAGGAACTGATTAGAGGGAAACATCAGTAATCCATTAGAAGATTCCACAATAAACACAGCAGGGACTGTAAGTGATCATCTGTCTACACATCAGAGAAGTCCTAAACATTCTTTCAGATGGCTACTTTTAGGTCTTTTAGACATAGGCTTCTCTTAAAGCAACTGCATACATAAAATTCCATGTGAAATGTAGTCCCAATGCTGTATGTAAAGGAAAAACCCCTATGATAAAATTAATGGGGATATTTCATATTTTAAACAGGACCTTTTCACCTTCCACTTTACACAGTTAAATATTTAATATTGTTGAATAGAGATGCCTAGACCCTGATAAAATGAATACCTATTTTGTTTGTAACACTATTATCAGTCAATTATAAAGCAATGGGTGCAATAAAATATAAACTTTAGCTTTGAAATTTTTATTATTTTGAGTTTAGAAAATTCCTTATAGAGACTATCTCTACATATTTATTTTGCCAGGATGAGAATTACCACAGATTAGAGACTAGCAGAATGCTTCACCATTCTGTGGACCATTAACTACTTCATAACAAAATGTTGATCTTAAAGGCACTCCAGGCAGAAATCAAAGAAAGCTATCACTAGTCCTCTAAGATTTTAAAAGCACCCTGAGTACCAGCTTCTTCACTGAAGATACTGAAATACTGGGTAGAAAAGAAATCACAAATACTGTGTCTATGCTCTTTGCTGAGAAGTAAAGGACCTCAGACCCAAGTGCACTCAGACTTCAATGCACATGTTACAATGATTTAGGCATTTAGAAGTTTAAAAACTAATAGATTTAGTCCAAAGGAGATACAAGAACAAAATAATAAAGACAAAATCAGCAATTACTGAAATGAAAGAGGAACATTACAAAAGTAGTTTCTTTGAGTAGAACAAGACTATAAACTGGGCATGGTGGTGCATGTCTTTAATCCATGCACTGGGAAGCAGAGCCAGGTATGATCTTTCTGAGTTCGAGGCCAGCCTGATCTACATAGCTGGTCCCAGGACAACCAGACCCTGTCTCAAAAACAAACAAAACAACAACAAAATTAGGAATAAAAGTGGGGCCATTATTTACCTTTCACTCCTGGGATTACATCCATATGGTCACTACACATCACCCTTTTTGTGTATCTTTATGTGTGTGCATGTCTACAACTGTGTGGGTGTAGGTGTTTGTGCATGTGCTGGTTGAGGCTCAAGGCTGATGTTGGTAGTCTTCCTTGGTTACTCTCCACCTTATTCATGAGGTAGGGTCTCTCAACTGAGCTTGGAATTTACCAACATGGCTAGTTTGCTATAGCCAGCTTGCTCTGGGCAGGCCTCTCTTGTCACTGTCTTTCAAGGGCTGGAATTATAGATGGGCTATCATATCTATTTATGCGGTGGCTGGGGATCCCAACTCTATGCTAAAATCACTGAGCCATCTTTCCATATTTTACATATCATTGGGTTTGTGCAAGTGTGGGTGTGTGGGTGTGTGTGCGTGCCAGTGTAAAAGTGTCTGGGTGTGCTGATACATATTCATGCTTTTAAATTTTTAATTATGTACTTATTTATTTATTGAGACAGCAGCTCTCACTGGCTTGGTGCGTGTTTGTAAAATAGGGTGGCTGTCAGGAAGCCCCAGTCACCTATCACTATCACCAAGTGATGGAGCAAGCACACACCACTATCCCCAGCTCTCTTATGGACTTTAGTGACTGAGCTCAGGCCCTGGCTCTCATGAGGTGAACGCTTTACTAAGCTGCCCTCCCTCCCGGCCCTGTCATTGGATTTTGTTTGTGACTACTTACTACTAATTTTTGTATTAAGGTCTTTTTTTGGAACCCCTAAATCATAGAAAACACTAAACTTTCATTAGGCAGGTTGGTTGATGAAAAACAGTGTTGCTCAAAAAGATATCTGTACTTTTCCTTTATATTTAAAGAGTATCTTTCCTTAATGTGCTATTCAAAACTTCAACACAAAGTAACCCATTTTATTGAATTGTTTCAGATTTATTGCTCACAAGAAGTCAACAGCCATTTTTATCACTGTTCCCCTATATACAATGTGTCTTTTCAACTTCAGTGGCCTTAAATGTTTGGCTTGGTTTTCAGACCTCTGACTATGATGTGGCTTTCCTTTTCTGTTTATCATATGTGAGATGCACTGGGTTATTGGTGATTTCATGCTATTACATCAAATTCAGGGACATTTCTACTGTTATCTCATCAAATATTCTTTCTGTTCTACCCCTCTCTCCACCTTTGAGAGACTCTAGCTGCTGAGAGATGACGCTGCCTTTTCTCAGGTTTGTCCTTCTGAACCGAGAATTCCTGATTACTGCCTTGTATTGCTCAGCTCCATTTTAAAACACCTGAAAATGTTTATGGCAGCTATTTTGTAATCTCTCCATGCTAATCCCATCATCTTAAGCACATGCTTGTTAGTTTTCTTGCTTCTTTCTGTGCCCTGTAATTGCCCGAAGAAGGATTCATCTTTTCCAGGCATTCCTTGCTGTCTCCCAAATATCCATCTCCTTTATTTCTAAAGTTATCTTGCTTGAGAAAGAAGCTCCAAAATAATAATGGTGAGTTAGGTTCTTCCCTTTGTCACTTCCATCCCTCCCTCCTTTCTTCCGGTTGAGTTGTGGTCACTACACAGAGCAGGCTTCTCTCCAACCTCAGTCCCTCTGCCTCAGCCGGGTTACAGTACCGGGTTACAGGTGTGCATGACCTCCACCAGCAGCAAGCTTGTATTCTTCATGGCTTCTTGTTAACCTTTGCAGGACCAGTCCAGAGTAGCTTTCAAAAGGATGAACGAACCATACTTCTGCAGCATACACTGCATAGGTTACTGTCCATACCACAGCACCCAATGCAGGCTCAGGTGCCATCACTCGGCTCAGACTTCTAAGGGCTGTGCTGTTCCCAGGGCTTGTGAGTCTCTCCAGGTCTACTGCTCTCCTTGTGCTAGGGCTAGTCGGTATAAATCCAAGCTGAATTTCTGCTTTGCTTTGTTATTTTATTACACCTCACCTTTCTTTTGGTCCTTTCCTCTCTGTGTTTTGACCTGCTGACTGCTCTTATTCTAAACACTTCTTTCAGAAACTCATAACTAGTAAGCAAAAAAGAACTCAAACCAGAAATTCATTCTTTTAATGCATTAGTTCAGTGTTCTTTCTCTGACACAGCATTTGTTACTGTGATCTACTGGGACCAAAACAACAACAATCTACACCAATTTTAAACTGTTCAATACTTGTTATATGTCTTGTGCCCGGCAGTGGTTAGCTTCTAATAGGCCTGCTGCCTATTAGATTTCTAAAATGAAAACCAATCCACAGCTAAAGCTTCAAATGACCCACATGGAGAAGTTTCATTTGTTTAAAAGTTATCCCTGAACCAACACTCCAGCCACACAAAATGTGATTATCCACATAATATCTTAAGAAAGGCAAGAGGTCCTAAGCTCCCTCCCCCAGTCTGGGTTCTGTATCTCCTATGAGGCCACAGAGTGTTTTGTTCCGCCTTGTCCACTGGCTCAGCTTCTAGAGATGAGCAGAGGCTTGGCCTCTGTAAATGCTCCTCCTAACTCAAGTGCCTTGATGTTGATGATATTGGTTTCATTCTTCTAACCACAAAATATCCATTAATTCATATTTATAAGGTATTAGTCTGATGGGGAATGTCCTTCTGTATGCTGTGAAAATATGTTTCTCTTATTGGTTGATGAATAAATGCTGGTTGGCCAGCAGCCAAGCAGGAAGCATGGTTGGGCTACTAGACTAGGAGAATTCTGGGAAGGGAAAAGGCAGGGAGCAGTCCTGAGGAGAGAATCCATGTAGCCACCAGGAAGGTAGGATGCCTGGGCATCCTCCAGTAAGCCAAGGCCATATGGAGATACATAGATTAATAGAAATGGGCTAATAATTAAGAGCTAGCCAGTAAGAATCCTGAGCCATTGGCCACACAGTTTATAATTAATATAAGCCTCTGTGTATTTATTTGAGACTGAAGGGCAGCAGGACTAGGTGGAACAGAAACCTCAGTCTTAGTCACTTTAAGATAAATTTTGCATGATTTTATTACCTTTTGAAAAAAAATTATCTTAATGTGCATTTATCTGCCTGAGTATGTGTACACATGTGCAGAGGCCAGAAGAGGGTGCCAAACCCTCTAGAATTGGAACTAGAGGTGACTGTGAGCCACCACATGGTTGCTGGGAACAGAACCTGGGTTCTCTGCAAGAGCAGCCAGTGCTCTTATCCCTGAGTCCCATTTTTCCTTTTACCACCTTTTAAGGAAAGGGGAGCTATGAGTAGGAAGAATGGCAAGGAAACTGCTTTATAAAGCAGGCTATTAAGAAAGTATATTTAATTCACGGTAGGAGAGAGATGAATAATCAGAGCTTAGGGCTCGTGCCCCCGATCTCCTACCTGTGCAGCTGGATGTATTCTCGGGGTCTGTTGAGCAGGTGAAGGAACCGGTCCATGATCTTGTTTTTTCCTACACCCTGCAATTACACAAACAGCTTTAAGCAGAAAGGAGCTTTGGTTTGGGAGTGAGTTTCTGCCAACTTGCTTCTTCACAGTTCTGCTACATTAGTTTGTTGTTAGTAAAAACCAAACCAGCAAACACAGACAGCACACCTTTGATGACAGAGGCCACTGAAGGATCTGACCCCTGAGCATCTGACCCCTTTGCTGTTCTTAGGAGAGGATGTCCCAGGTGCCAGCGTCTACCTCCTGACCTTAGTCTATAGTTTCACAGTTAAGGCTGACATTACTATAGAACATTGGTGATTTCAGGTACAGAATGGCATCAAGTATATATAAAAATAACCACTTTTCTTTAGTTCCTCAGAGATAGGTTTTTCAGTTATAGAAAGATAAATAGAACACTGTACTTTTTCCTTTTATCACACTTTTTAAAAGTACTTTAAAAGCCTTGAGCTCTAAAATTGGGCATGTAATTATAATCCAACTGTATGTGCTCTGCTTAGACATGCCCTCATTGCCTTCCGCCCTTCTCACGCCTGAGTCCAATCCAATTGAAAGAGGGCAAACCTGGCCACTAGGATGTATGAGGAGCAACAGTTAAAGAGCTGAGTTCAGTATCATGGGAACAAAACTGCATTAATTTCTTCTGCTTTCTCAGGCTCTGTTAAGTATTTTCCTGTGCTGTTTCATTTATTATCCACACAGGTGTAGCACCATAAGTTAGGAAATAAGATTATTTTAACCTCATGAGCCCAGAAACTAAGATTCAGAAAAGTTAAGCAAATACCAGCAATCACAGTCAATGACTGGAGCCAGGACTCGGTTCTGGGTGTCTGATCCTGGTGCTTGTGTTTGTAGTTCCTGTGCGGTGGTTAGACTTTTCAGTATGAAATTTATTTAGGCAATCTGGGCCTCATATCACCTCCTTACTTCCGGAAGGTACCCCCAACACTCCCCAAGTTAGGGGAAATGTGTGCTGTCCAGTAGAAACAGCAAAGCCAAGAGTAAAGGAGGTAGTATTGCTGGGACTTTTACTGCACAGGCAGATGTCTTATGAGGAAAAGCATTCTACAAGTACCAAGAACAGAAATTCAAATTGAATGGGGGTATGCCTCAAGTGCCAGGGGAGACAGGCCCCTGTCTGCTTTTCTATCAACTGTATTTGCCGAGCTCAGTACAGTGCTCATGTGAATAGGGCACCCAAATTAGTATCTGTCAAATGAATGGATAAATAAAACAAACTTGGAAACAGAAGAGGTGAAAATCCTAGGAAAACATTAACAGTGACCAGGCTTATAGGAATGCTGATAAAGGGCCAGCGGGAAGTTATGGGCTGATAAAAGTGCATACTTTATGAACGATCCAATTCACTTGCTGAAGACTCAAAGGTACCAAAACTGAACAAGCAGACTGACAAACTCACCAACATCAGAATAATGGGTCACTTTTGAGGAGCTGCTTAGTATTTTACCCCCCTCCCCAATCTAAGCTTTGCAGAGAAGCACAAGGAAGGACTATCACGTTTGCATATCTGCATGTCAATCACAACAGCCTTGTAAGTTTAAAATGACATGCTGGGATAAACATACAATTTAAAATAGATACAATCAGATGACTAAAATATCTTTCTTAAATTCAGTAATCACAGAGAAAAGCAAACATTACAGATACTGTAACACAGGAGACAGCCAAGACCTCCTGGTCAATCATGAGAGGCTATGGGGGGGGGGGCTCCTCCTCCCCATCAGCCACCTCTCCAGAACTTGGGGGCTCCTGCAGTGCAGGTGCTGCAGATGCTTCAGGGTAGCTCCTTGCTGTGTCCTTTAGCCCTGGGACCACTAAACCTCTGACCTCCCTGTCTTCTCGTCCCACAGTCTCTTGTCCCTCCTACCTGAGCCGTCCACACTTGTTTGCTAAGGGGCACTGGAGACCCCTGTCCTTCCAACTGAATTGCATGCTCAGGCTGCACGCAGCAGACTCCCACTCCTACCTACATGACTTCAATGCCCAGCACGACAGCACAGTGAGGCATGCTGCCACTCAATGCAGAATTTTAGAGTATTTTGATATGTGCTCCATTTCCCTTAACCTTACTCAAAATGCCACCAGGCCCCTTGCAGTTTCAATGTATAATGTTATTTTTCTTTCTTCCTTTTCTTCTTAAAAGCAGATTGTGGGATGGAGCATGGTGGCGCACGCCTTTAGTCCCAGAACTAGGGAGGCAGAGGCAGGGAGATCTCTGTAAGTTTAAGGCCAACCTTGTCTACATAACTAGTTCTAAGACAAACAGCCAGGGCTACCAAGAGAGACCTTGTCTCAAAATTCAAAAACATCAAAACAAATAAATACATTTTAAAAGCAGGCTGAGCAAAGAAGCCCTCTTTTGATGCCTTCAAAACTCCTGTCTTAGTACAGCTGACCTCCTCACCCTAACAAAAGAAACGTACAATAGCCTTACAGTAAAAGCACCAGGTCCTTGAGAAGAGCTAGAAGCTGAACCATTCCCCAAAGGGTTGCTGTCCTTTATCCCATGGTACAAAATCCTGTGTGGAAAAGGGAAGGCCCAAGCTCATTTGTGGAGAGATTGCTCCGCTCTGCCTGGAACTTCAGTGCTGAAACCCATCAGGGCTTCGTGGTCAGTTTCTGCTGGGTGACTGTAAATACCAGGTTTGATGTCATTATGTTGATATTCATTCCAAGAAACCTTGCCAAAGGGGAGACTTTATCAATGAAGGCTTCCAGCTGGTTACCTCAATGGGGCTTCTCTAGGCAGCTTGTGGAGGAGCCCCAGAAATTGGTGTTACTGTTTGCCCTATTAACTGGGCTGCTCTAGCTGTCTCTGCTGGAGGTTGTGAGCATCTGATTTGATTTTTTTTTTTTTCTATCTGCTGCTTCTCTCCCTTACTTGATCTTTATTGTTCTACTTGTGCTTGCTCTACTCACTCAAAACTCAAAGCACAGATTTCACAGGTCATGTCCTAGACAGTGCTGAACACAAGGGAACAGTGTTAGATTCCTTGTGAATGTGGCTATATGAGGCATCTAAGATGCTTTAAGATATAAGCAAAGGCTTGGGAAGGCCCATTGTGTGTGAGATTTGGTTTAAAATACCATGGAATTAGGAGGTACAGGAAGGAGGAAGCAGGGGGTGTCCTAGAAGAGAGCGCAGTGTGGCGGGAGACTTGTGGGTACAGTGGTCCCACAAGGTCTGCAAGAAGACACAGCAGGAGTGAGGAAGGAGCTGTAAGGAACAGGCTATCCAGGGAGGCGGGCTCTAACTGTGGCAGAGCCTTGGCAGACAAGAGTTTGCATTGTTTCCAAGAGCAGCCATGGAGGCTGGGGAATGATGGGATCAGATTTTCAGTTCTGGAAAACCAGTCTGCAGGAATGGCAGAGAGAAAGAAGTGACAGCGAATGGAAACAGTTTGGAAACCTCTTACAGAATTCAAGCATATGAGGATGGGTTTAAGCCAAGGGGCAGAGAGAAATCAAGAGATTTAAGAGACAGCTAGGTAAGGGAACTAACGTTACAGTGTGATGGGGGTAAGGAGATGAAGAAATCAGCCTTTGTCTTGGGTGGAGAGTGGTAAGGCCAGGCTCCTGACTGAGAAAGCAATGGGGGAGGGGACTCCGGCTCGCTGGGCAAGGGAGGGAAGTTTACAAAGGCAGTTTAATTTTGGACATGTTTATTTTGAAGTGCCTGTTTCCCACATCTGTTTCTTCCTCTTCAGTTCCCCGTCTCTGCTCCGGAGCCGCACATCCTCCCGGGCTGCTGCTGGAAAGGGTCCTCCTCGCCTCCCCACTTCCCCCACTTCTATCCTCGCCACAGAGCAGCCCACCACTTGTTTAGCTCCTTTTCTAAGCCAGAGATCTCAACAGGTCTTTTCCTCCCTCACTCCACGATGCTCTCAGTTCCTTCGAGGAAATGCTGAAAGAATACTCGAGGAAGGAATTTCTGAAAATATCCTGACAAAACGCAACAATTACAGCTGTTTGTTCCTTCTAATCATAGTTCTTGCCCAAGACAGAAAATCCCCGGGATTACTTTGATTGTATAAGTACATAAATAATGTCTACTTTTTTCCACTATAAAAATTGCATATATTCCCTTTTCCCCTGGGGAAATGTAGAAGATATGACACCACTCAATGTGTGATTGTTCAAAAATTACCTGCTAATATTTTCATGTTATCCCTGTACATATACATATTTTTACTTACTAGCTATGATCCTATGGGTGCAACTTGTCTCTTTTAATAAAATTAATATGAAATAAACTCTTATATAGACTGTATTTAGTGAATGAAACTTTAAATAGGAGAAGGAATTGGGAAGCTCAGGAAACTTGTTCTTTTCTTTCCATCACTGCCCTGTTAGGTTCTTTGTGACAACGAGAAGGAGGGACCCTTGGAGGGGCAGGAGTCAAGAGGCTTTGTACCTCCAGAGTTGCCAGTAACAGAGTCTGTGAAATCCACAGGTAGGACTCCAACCAGAGGCAGAAGTACACCCACCTCCAGTTACTGAGACAGGAGAGCTCAGGGCCAGAACTTTAAGAACTCTGAGAAATTCTGGGGTGGTGGAAACTCCTGAGAATTTTTTCTTTTTAAAGTGAAACCATGTCCTTGGGTGATTAAATCCTTTACCAAAGAAAGGGATCTAGAGCTGTCTTCCTGGACACTTTCTCTAACACAGAGGGAAAAGGAGAAAAATAGGAGAAAAGGTCCAAAAGGAATGGAAGTCAGGCAGAGGGAAACTCGTGCAGAAGTGGCTTTGGGTCCTGAGACTAGAGTGTGAGACTAAAATGTTGACATGTGACAGGCCATGAAGAACCTCCACAGAAGAAGCCAACCCTGAAGCTCCTGCTCAGCCTCACTGGGGCATACTCCTGGCAATCTCCTGTCTCCAGAACAGCTCACACTTCTAAGTGTTTGCTCGTGCCATTTCTTCTGGTCACAAGGCCCATCCTGTCTTGTCTGCCGTTTTCCAGCCACCCTCAACTTTGCAGTAAGACATC